CCCCATTCTGAGGTGCTGGGGCTTCAGGCTTCAACATGGGAATTCAGCCCATAACAGGGGCTTTGATTTTTTGTTATTTAAATTCATTAACAATAAGTTTTACTATTCCAGGTTTTACTACATCAAGTCAAATGTCCCCTGAGCATCCAACCTCTTTCCTAGGCCTTCTCTGGAGCCAGGGAAGGGTAGCTAATGTCCTCCCCAGCCTTGCCCCTGGAGTAGCCTGTATGGTCCTCTCCAGATCTCTGACCTGCTCCTCGGACCCACCCCAAGAGGAATCAGGTGGAGGGGTGGCCTTGGCTGTCCAGGCGTGTGATTTATAGTTAACATCTCTGGACATTCACTGCCTTGTAAATCCAGACTTCCCATTCACACCTGTCAATATAATGACTGTACAATATTGGCCAATGAAACAGATAGTAAAATGGAACACAGGCAGGTGATAAAGTGTGAAGAGAGTATTACAACCTAGATGGAGGGAGGTACACAGTGTAGATGTTAGGGGCCCTGAGAGGTGTGGGGCTCATCTACTTGTATAAAGCAGTAAAAAGAAGAAAGGTGACAAGGTAAAATGGGGTAGGCCTGAGTCCCAAAAGACTCTCAGGAAACAATGATGTATTGGGCTTTGAAATTAAGCCCCTGGGAAGACAAGTGGACTTGGGCGAGGGGATCCCTTTAAATCTGAAAGAATTCTCCTGGGTCCTGCTCTGCTCTTAAATGTCAAACCTATAGCAGGACACCTTCACTGTACTGTGGTCCCCAGTCTCACTGCACCTTCAGCACTGCTGGGATGGTGAAGCTGCTGCTCTAGGTGGCTTTGTAACCCTGAAAGGTGTGGAAGCTGGCAAAGCCAGGCCAGAATCTTAGTACCAGTTTGGGAATAAGTCTTATAATGATCATGCTAATATCTGAGCATTTACCTAAGGTTTTGAAACACTTAAGTCATCCTACTCTATTTGATTTGTGATTTTAATCAGGGAGGTATGAGTGCTAGGCTGCCTACAAAGAGGCTGTAATAATACCTCCCATCCTGTATGCCAGCCCTTTGCAATGGGATTTGGCTCTCCCATTAGGAGGTGGAGTCTATTTCTTCATTCCCTTGAATGGGGGCTGATGTTGTGACCTGCACTGACCAAGAAAATGTGGTGGAAGTCAGGCCTCAAGGGACATCGCAGCCTCTGCTGTCACTCTCTTGCAGCAGGTCCTTGAGAGCAGCAGACCATGAAGGCAGCCCATATAGCTCATTGGAGGATGTGAGGTGTCTTGCCTGAGGGGGATTGCTCATGGGCAAGTTCATTCTGGATTTGGTGAGACTGAGTAACAACAGTGGAATTCTGGAGGTTACAGGCAGAGCACGGGGCTGGACTCTTTATATAATAACACTGACAAATGGCTCATTGCCAACAGGTGTGGAAGCAGTGGCCTAGCAGTAAGCCAAGTACATCATCAAGTACATTAGGGTCAGGTGAGGATCCTGGCCATGGGAACTTCCATTTTCCCTACATGAGGCCACATGGAGTAGAACGGAGGGGACTCAGTGACAGCCAGCACCAACTGCCAATCACTGTGAGCAAGGCCTGGGCCCAGCCCCAGTTAGGTTGTCAGGTGACTGCAGCCACACAAGTGACCCAGGGGAGACCAGTGGATGAACCCTCCAGTTTATCCCAGCCCAAACTGATGACTCACAGCTCTGGTTATTTTAAGTCAGTAAATTTCGGGTAGTTTATTACAACAGCAATAGATAGCCAAGACAGTATAAAAGAATCTAAGTTCATAAAGTGCTTGAATTATTTAAGAGAACTGATTCCTCCTATTCATAAGTTTAAATCTATTATATCTATATAAGAGTCACTTAACTGATTAGAAAGAAAGATGCTTGTTAGATATGTACATCTCTTCTGTTGAGAGTTTAGGGTGTTTGAGAGGACCAGCGATTTCAACTCTGTATAGTTTAAAATCTATTAGGGAATTTAATTACCTAAGTTTGTAATTGGCATTCATTTTAGAATTTAATCTGTTGAACCTGTGAGTTAATTAAATATTCATCCAAGAAAAAGTAATTGTTCTTATTTTTATACAAAGATTAGATTTATAAATAGAAAACCAGATTTGCAAGTTGCACTTGGATATTTAGGAAAAGCTTTTAAAAAATGTATTACTTTACTAAATACAGTATTAGTTTAAACACAAGTAGCAGTAGGTATCTTTTCTCTGTATGAAAGCCCCTCTCTGACATTAAAAATCCTCAGATGACAACATCAGGTGCTGCAGCCCCACCAGAAGTTCTGGCATCCCACAGACTTCCATGCCTTTGCTTCCATGTACCCCTCTGCCTGGAATTCCTCAACCCACATATATACCTGTGGCACATGTAATTTTTACCTGTTTTAAAATGTCCAGCTGAAACACCATGGGAAGGTCCTTCCTAACCCAGTTAGAATCCGTGTGTGTGTGTGTGTCCAACCTGCTTCAATGGCCTGCTGGTGGACACATAAAGTTCAGGCTCTGTGCAGAAGGCAGCCTCCTGACTGAGCACCAACATTTCCTGTCGGGGGATGGGGTCCCTGCCTTTCCCTGTATCCTCCTCCCCATACCTTGCTGGGAAGGGTATAATAGGTAGAATGGCTCCTCAGTGATGTCCAATTCTAACCCCTTGGAGTTTGTGAATATGTACATTATGTGGCAAAGAGGAATTCAGGTGGCAGAAGGAATTCAGGTTGCTACTCCGTAGACTTTAAATTGGGAGATTGTTATGGATTATTCAGGTGGGCCCAATGTAATTATATGGGTCCCTGAAAATGGAAGAGGGAGGCAGAAGAGAGGCAGGGGAAGGGCACTCTAAAACATAGTCAGAGAGATGCTACATCACCGGCTTTGAAGATGGAGGAGCGGCACCACAATCCAAGGAATGCGGTTGCCTCGGGAAGCTGGAAAAGGCAAGAGAGCTGCTAGAAAGGAATGCAATCTTGGTGACACCTTTATTTTAGCCCAGTGAGACCCACAATAGACTATGTCCTACAGAACTTTAATAAATTTGTGTTAAGCCCTTAATCTGCAGTAATTTGTTACAGCAGCAATAGAAAACTAATACATAGGCTCACCCACATGCTTCGTTCCCTGAATCAGTGACATCTACATGACTGCTTTCCAGAATGCTGATGGAACCAAACAACCTAGACCCAGGTCTGGGCTCCAGTGGCCCTCACAGGCCATGTTGACCTCAGGCCAGTCCAGGCTGCCCACCTGTGCCATGGGGCAGAGATGCCTCACCTGGCTGCTGTTGGGAGCCCATGAGTTAACTGGGTAGAGCAAATGGATGCAGAGAGCTTAGCTCAGTGCCAGCTGGTACCTAGTGCCCTGTAAATGGTTACATGCTGGTTGCCGTTGACAAGGCCCTTCTTGCACCACTGAGTTACTGGGTGAGTTGCAAATGGTGAGGTGACCTTGGTCCTAGGCACCTGACTACTGCATCCTGAACTCCTCTTGCTGACCATTTTGGGAAACCGTCCTGGAATGTTGGGGAGCCTGGGCCCATCCTTCCTGGCTCCTGATCTCCTCTCTCTTTGCCCTTACTCTCAGTCAGATCACTGCCCTCCTCCTTCCCATCAGGTCTGTGTAATCCTCTCTCGGGCATTGAGGTGGTGCCAGCTGCACCCACACCACTGGCTGCATCATCCCCCCTGCAGCCCCTCGCCTGGGTTATTGCAACGATCAGCACCAGAGACCCCTGTAACACAGGGGCAGGACTGCAATCTGCCAGACCCATGCCCAGTCTTATCCCTAATTTGCAGCTCAAGAGGTGAGCAGCAAGGGGTCAATGTACCCAATGGTGACAAACCTGGTACTGGAAGTTTCTCTGAAACCTTAGCTCCTCTGCCTTGACAATGGGTTTCAGCCCCGGGCAAGTTCACTATGTATTCAATGTGACCAAAGAAATGACAGTAGAACATTCTTGGGGTGAAAGGTTATACCCAACTTTATTTCCACGGTGGCAGTCAATCACTAAAATCCCGTTCACTCAGAGTGAGTCTGCATGCAACCAGCTGTTCTCTGCCTCTGGGCCTCTGTCCTCGGCACTGCCACCACTCCAGGCTCTGCTCTGCTCTCCTGCAGCCTTGCAGCCGTGCCACCGTGTTACCCAGAGCACTGGGCAGAGGTCTTTATATAGAGTCGGTAACGACATATTGCCCACACCTGTGCAGTGAGCTAGCCAACCAGGGCCAGATGAGAATCCTGGCCACAGGAACTTTCATTTTATCCACACCCACTATTATATTTATTAAATAATATCGATGTAGAAAGACATAAAAGTATTAATATTAAAATCCATCATCATAGTCTTTGTAAAAAGTCAGGGAAATATAAAGAAAAAAATTCACCTTATTTCTTCCACCCCGTAACGCCACTTGTAACTCTAAAGTTTTTGCCTTCTAATTTCACCACTTCCACCCTCGCCTTCCCGGGTGCTCTGGATTCGGTTCCAGCCGCGCCACCGCCCGCGCCCAGTGGCTAAACGGCCTGGGGAAAGTCGCCGAAGTGGACGTACCCGTTTGCGCCACTTGGCACCTCCCCATGGCCGGCCGGGACCCGCGGCTCCAGAGACTAGGGGCGGGAAGGGGCAGGCGCCCAGGTGACCCGCGGAGAGACAAGGCGAGGCCCTTGGCAGCACAGCGCTCCACCCCGCGGGGGCCACGCTCGGCTCTGCGAGTTGGGTATCGAGCGCCGGAGCCCAAGGGTCAGAGGGGGGACCGGGCCGCTTGCAGGGCATCCTGCACCTGGCCGGGACGCTCGGCGGACCAGGAAGTTGGCGGTGGCCGAGCCTTCCCCGGGCGGATGGGCCAGGCGGCCACGCTAGCCTCGGAGAGGGAGGGGCTCGGGAGCGGGCGGAGCCTCCGGCGAGGCGTGCACTGTGTGTACCAGTACGGGGCCGCCGGCGGCCCGGACTACAAGTTCCAGGGTGCCCCGCGGCGCGCCCTTCTCTGGCCGCGAGTTCCGCCGGCTCGGAGCAGGTTGCCGCGGGCTGGTACGCGCCGCCGTGTCCAGGAGTAAATAAGAGAGAGACTCTGCCAGCACCGTAAATAGAGTCCCAGTGGGCGGGGAGACGCTCGGCGCCGCCCGCTCAAGTCTCCGCGGAGCCAAATGTCTGGCCGTCTGGCACAGCTGCGTGCGGCGGGGCAGCTGCTCGGCGCCGCGCGCCCCTGGTCCGGCCCTCCGACGGGTGCGGCTCGGACCCGCAGCAGTGCGTGCGGACCCTCGGCGTCCCTGGGCGCTTATGCCCCCCGCGCGCGGACCCCAGCAAGAGTTGAGGCTTGGGGGGCGGCAGCGGTGGGGCCGAGAGCCAGGGTGCGCACCTGGGCACCCCTGGCCATGGCGGCGAAGGTGGACCTGAGCACTTCCACCAACTGGAAGGAGGCAAAATGTAAGTGTGAGCAGAAGAGGGCCGGAGAGCAAGGGCTGCTCCACGTGGGCCTTCCCCGGCGGGAGAGCACCCCACCCGCAGACCTGGGAAAGTTAAGGCTCCAAATGCCTGGGTGTGGACCCCCGCCCCTTCACAGCCACGCCCCCTAACCCAGCCCCACAAACCCCTTCACCCAGACCACGTCCAGGTCCCCTGCCAGTGGCCACTGGAATGGGTCTTCCCAGAGATCATGGTTGTGCGGGAGGGAAACTGAGGCCTCGCGCTAAGTGGATTTACTCACGGTGGCTGAGAGTTTGTGGCAGAGCTTGACATCAGGCTCCTAAACTTCTGATGCTTTGCATAGTGTGGTTTCTCAAGCGGTGGCATCTTAGGCAGAGCGGCAGAGAATGGGCTGAGGGGACAGTACCGGGCCTGGTGCCTCACCTGGTGGGATCATATGGCTCCTGAGAGTGGCCTTCCTGGGCGGGCCAGTCCTACCTCACCCACCCCTCCCCCAAGGGCCTGCCTCTCTGGGCACATGGTCTGGTGCCCTTTTGCCCTCACCCCTGGCCACTTTGTGAGCAGTCTCTGCCCTCTTCGTGGCGTTCACAGGGCAGAGGCACTGGGGGGCATTGTGTCTGTAAGAGCAGTGTCCTCTCCCTGCCAAGAATCAAACCTCTTCCTCTTGCTCTGGACAGATTATGAGTCCCAGGGCTGGACTCTGGGCCCTGCACAGAGTAGGAGAGAGAGGAGACTCAGCCCTCAGAGCCCTGAATAGCTCTGGCTGCCTACCCAGCTGCCCTTGCCCTTCAGCCTGCTCCTGTGCTCCTTTAGCCGTTCCAGCTGGCTGCCCTTTGGAAGCACAGGGAGTCTGCTCATTGGCTGCGCCTGCGTGGTGGTGTGGGGGGCAACTGTGGTTGGGAGTAAAGGAAAGGCATCTTCTGGGAATTGGAGGTAGAGTTCAGGACGACTTATTCCTGTCAAGAATCATCTCGCCTTCATGGGGATCTTAAAGTGCTGGCAGAAAGCTCTTGACTTTGCTCCCTGAGCACTGGGCTGTCCGAGTCATGCCCTCTGCCTTGGCCTCAGAACACCAGTCAGGTGGCAGGGGTGGCAGAGACCCCTGAAAGGGGACTTTCCTCACAGGGAGTCCTGACAACAGCAACTCAGAGTGGTGGGAAAGAGAACTAACAGGTAGCATGCCTGGGCACCTGTTCCCGGATCTGCTATTTCTAGGACCCAGCTTCCCCCCATCCCCCCATTCCTTGGTGCCACTGAAAATTCAGGAAGCTGATGGGCCAGGCATTCCCAGGCTGCTGTGCTATCTCTGCGTGGAGCTGGGATTTCCACTGCATCCAGTGCATTTCCATTGAGCACCTTCTATGTGGCAGCACTGTTCTAGTGAGATGGGCAGTGCCCTGCCCTCATGGACCTTCTACTTTAAGTATAGGAAACAGTGTAGACAAAGTGGTCAAGCTGATGGAATAATGCCAGGTAAAGATCAATGCTGTGAAGAAGCCATGGTGGATGGGGCCACTTGAGCACCAGTGTCCAGTTGGGCAGTGTGAGGAGGAGGAGGCCTTGCACCCCAGCACTAGGTGTGAAGCCCCCACAGTGTCAGATAGTAGCTTGTGGTGAGACACATAGAGACCTCCCTGTGTTTTATCTGTTACAGAGTAACAAATTACTCCAAAATTCAGTGGCTTAAAACAGCAAACATTTATCTCAGACTCTGAGGGTCAGGACACTGGAAGTTGCTTAGCCAGGTGGTTCTGGCTAAGGGCTTCTTGGGAGGTTGGCTGGAACTAGTTAGGGCTGGAGTGAGCCATTTCCAGGGGCACAGTCACATGACATGGCTGTTGGCTAAAGGCTTCAGTTCTTCGCCATTAGGGCTTCTCCAGAGGGCTGATTGAGTGGCCTTACAACATGGCTTCTGGTTTCCCTAGAGCACGTGATCCAACTGAGGGGGCATGGGGAGACCAAGCTGGAAGCCACAGTGCCTTTTTGGACCTAGTCTTCAAAGTCCCACACCACTCTGCTGCTTGGTTCTAGGGCTTAGAATCACGGAGTCTGGCACACATTCCAGGGAAGGGAACTTAGGCTCCACCTTTGGAAGGGTGGAGGATCAAATAATTTAGGGCGTATTTTTAAAACCACAGCCTCAGGTGGACTCTGCCTCTTACTGGGGTCTGAGCTTTGGTCCTTGAAGACCCCCACACCTTTTCTTCTTCGTAACAGTATTCAGTTTATAATTTGAGCTGAGTTATATTATACAGTGATGTATACATGTATACATGCAGTGACATACAAAAGTCAGTATGCTTTTATATAAATATCCAGCTGTGCACCACTACTCTGATCAATATGTAGCTCATTGCCATGACCCCAGAAGATTCCTTTGAGCCCCTTTCCAGTCAGTATCCCTTACAGCGTCTTGTACTTCATACGAACAGAGGCATACAGTGCAGTTCATCTACATTATTGGGTTTGCTCTTTTAATTGCTGCATAATATTCCACAGTATGGATGCAAACAACAGTTTGTGTACCAATTCTCCTGTTGGTGGGCATTTGGGTTTCTGGTTTGGGACTGTTGGCAATAAAGCTGCCCTGACTATTCTTGTACATGTGTTTGATGGACATGTGCCCTCCTTTCTGTTGGTGATATATCTACATAGGCCTCTGAATTTCTGACTATGCCTGAGGTGATCCTTTCCTCAAAGACTGGCACACAGTAACCAAACTCACAAAAGACAGATGTATAGGTCAGCAAGCCGATGTGCAATTCACAGTAGGGATATAATAGCAATGGGTCTGGAAACTCATGTATCTGGGCTGCACCTCCTCTCCCCATAGAAAGGCCATGTGGAAGCCAAATCATAGTCTTAAGTTTGCTCAGCAGCATGTGTTCTCAATTGGTTGAATGCTTTTGGAAACTGATCCCACTGCTTTGTGTAGGCTAGGCAAGCTTCCTGGACAGGGGTGGACCTCCGATCCCCTTCCCTGGGCAGTTGCTCAGTATGCCAGTCAGAATGTAGTGCTGAGTGCTTGCTCTGGGCCCCAGGTGCAGGATGCCTCAGCCCACAGCCTAGTGCGTCCTCTGGACAGACGGCCAGATTCCACCTCTCTCTGGCCATTCCCTTATTCCACCTTTAAGCTCACTGCCTACTTCTGTGGACCCATTCTCCCTCTAGGTAAGTAAATACCATCGGGCTGGATCTTCCTGGCTAGGAGAAATTAGACTTTTTGGGAGACTTCTGCAGTATCTGATTTCACTGGCCAGGGGCTAATTCCTATAATTTCTGGGTGCCTCATTATCCCCTAGTGCCTTTGCATCAGAAAATTGTAGAGATAGTCATGATATAAAGGCAGTTGGGCATGAGGGGACTTAAAGGTTGGGTAGTGGGGACACCCAGGGGATGTGTCACTATAAGAGGGGCCTGGCCTCCAGGAAACCCTCCTTCTGACCTGCACTGGGGCATATTCCTGTGCTACGGAGAGAAAAGACAGTGGTGTCATCAGAGTGGGGACACCTCAGCCCCACTGCTTCTATGTTCCCTGAGCCCCAGTTTCCTCATCTGTAAAATGGGACCAGCAGCCCCTAATGGGTAGATTGTGCTGGGATCCCATGAGAAACCGTCTGGTACATGGTGGCCCATAAGGTGTACATAAGGGTCCCCAGTGGTCCCCTTCCTTGTCACCCCTTGGGCCTGGGCCTGTGTTCTGTCTCTGTTCTGATAAGCAACCCTGGGCTCTTGTGCACTTGTCTCCCCGATGCTGGAGCCCCGGCTGACCTGCACACCCCGAGGCATGTTTCCTCCCCTGGTGGCTCGAGATCGGGCTCAGCGTTCCAGCCCCACTTTGCACTGGGCAGGTAGGGCGTATTTTTAAAACCACAGCCTCAGGTGGACTCTGCCTCTTACTGGGGTCTGAGCTTTGGTCCTTGAAGACCCCCACACCTTTTCTTCTTCATAACAGTATTCAGTTTATAATTTGAGCTGAGTTATATTATACAGTGATGTATACATGTATACATGCAGTGACATACAAAAGTCAGTATGCTTTTATATAAATATCCAGCTGTGCACCACTACTCTGATCAATATGTAGCTCATTGCCATGACCCCAGAAGATTCCTTTGAGCCCCTTTCCAGTCAGTATCCCTTACAGCGTCTTGTACTTCATACGAACAGAGGCATACAGTGCAGTTCATCTACATTATTGGGTTTGCTCTTTTAATTGCTGCATAATATTCCACAGTATGGATGCAAACAACAGTTTGTGTACCAATTCTCCTGTTGGTGGGCATTTGGGTTTCTGGTTTGGGACTGTTGGCAATAAAGCTGCCCTGACTATTCTTGTACATGTGTTTGATGGACATGTGCCCTCCTTTCTGTTGGTGATATATCTACATAGGCCTCTGAATTTCTGACTATGCCTGAGGTGATCCTTTCCTCAAAGACTGGCACACAGTAACCAAACTCACAAAAGACAGATGTATAGGTCAGCAAGCCGATGTGCAATTCACAGTAGGGATATAATAGCAATGGGTCTGGAAACTCATGTATCTGGGCTGCACCTCCTCTCCCCATAGAAAGGCCATGTGGAAGCCAAATCATAGTCTTAAGTTTGCTCAGCAGCATGTGTTCTCAATTGGTTGAATGCTTTTGGAAACTGATCCCACTGCTTTGTGTAGGCTAGGCAAGCTTCCTGGACAGGGGTGGACCTCCGATCCCCTTCCCTGGGCAGTTGCTCAGTATGCCAGTCAGAATGTAGTGCTGAGTGCTTGCTCTGGGCCCCAGGTGCAGGATGCCTCAGCCCACAGCCTAGTGCGTCCTCTGGACAGACGGCCAGATTCCACCTCTCTCTGGCCATTCCCTTATTCCACCTTTAAGCTCACTGCCTACTTCTGTGGACCCATTCTCCCTCTAGGTAAGTAAATACCATCGGGCTGGATCTTCCTGGCTAGGAGAAATTAGACTTTTTGGGAGACTTCTGCAGTATCTGATTTCACTGGCCAGGG